ATATATCATGTGCTCAACAAATATTTGTTAGCTGTTACGAAAGTGGTAGTAACAGAGAATGAGACTTGTAAAACATAAAAACTTAGCTAGGCTACTTGGGAGCCAGAGGTAGGAGGATCACAAGTTTGAGCTCAGCCTGGGCAACATAGTGAGACTATCTCAAAACAAAGTTTTTAGGGCCAAGGATGTAGCTCAGTGACACAACACCTGCCTGGCAAGCACAAAGTCCTGAGTTCAATTCCTGGTACCAAAAAAACAAAAAAAACCTGTTTTAAATTTTTAAAAAGCTGGGGAAGAACCCAGAGATATAGTGCTGGCCTAGCATAGAAGACACTCCTCAATGCCTAACTTGAAAGAAATAAAGACTTACTTCTCTATTCAACATAATTATTTTCCTTTTGAGAAATTATTTATACAAATTTCTATGTAAACAGAACTATGAACCCACAAAAGTAGTTTATTTAAACTCTCTGCTCTGTATATTCTTATAAAACTGATAACAATAGCATATTTTTTCATAACACCCAAGTTTATATTCACCCACTTTCAAGAGGAGCATTCAGTTGGTTTTCTTCCTTTTGAAGGCACTTTGGTATTTACTACAGGTTAGTTTCACATTCTGCAAATCATTTAAATTATTGTGAATCATTCGCCTACTGTATTCCATTACAGAGCTATAAAAACATCAATAGCCAAGGCAGCTTGAGCTTTGCATCAGGGAATTAATCATTACTCCATACACCTTGTAATAATACACTCACAGCACAGGAGGGAACCAAGTGTCAGAATTGACACATACAGTACTTCAATCAGAAATACCGTTAACACTACCTTCCCCGAAAGTCACTTCAAGCCAATGAAGTGGGCTGACTGCAGATACTTTTTTGTGTGTTTATTCTCAAAGCTGTGTAGAAATAGAATTCACCTGCAAGGGCTATTACAGACCTCAGACTATTGAATGTGGATAAAGACTTTGGTTCAAGTTTTTGCAAAACTGTCACTTCGGTGTCCCCCTTTCCTCCAAAGAACAGAGTACGTCTGAGAACAGTTCTCCCTCTTGCTATTGCATCAGGAGGAGAGGAGCATGTCTTGCATCAGCCTTGGTGCTGAGCATTTTCACAGTGAGCTGAGTCACACTAGCTTGTGTGATAATCCAGGGAAAAGAGATGGAGAGCTATAGTGCGTTGAATACCAAACAGGGTCGGAAGAACTGCTTTTATTTTATGTACTACTGAGAAAGAAAAGCAGTGCCAATCAAACTGTGGCCAACTGTTGGTTAAAGGACATGTTTGGATTTCAGAGATATTAAAATATGAAAAAGTATCCATCGTGGAACAGAGGTATCATGGAATTAAAATAGTGCTTGTGATTTCCATTGCATTCTGTGCAGCAATAACAATCCCTAGAGGGCACAAAATGCTAGCCTTTAATTTTCTCTCTCTCTTTGGAAATTCTCCTCAGATTTTCTGGTTTTACCGGCTAGTCAGGCTTGGGAGCAGCTCAGTGAGCAGATGCAAGCCCAGTACTTCCTTAAGATCTTCCTCAGGGGACCCAGGTTGAACAGCAAGTAACATACAAGAAGCCTAGTTAAATCTGAATACCATAGAAACAACAAATAATGCTCTAGTGTGAGTATGGCCAGCATATTGTATGAGATAGTCTTATACTAAGAAAAATTAACTGAGTGTCATAGTATTTTTATTTGCTAAATCTGGTTTGTTTGTTTTTTTTTTTTTTTTTTGGTTTTTCTCCGGTACCGGGAACCGAACTCACGACCTTGCGCTTGCCAGGCAGGCACTTTTTGCCGCTGAGGTAAATCCCCAGCCCCATTGCTAAATCTGATAATCATGCCTCCAGGGTAATTGTACCCTTGACCTTCACTGCATGATCTTACTTACTCTAGGACCTTAACTTTTACTGCTGAGAAACCTTTGTTAATATACTGCTCCTTAAAACAACCTTGAGAGTTGGGGATCACTGAGGGTCACGTCAGAGACGAAGGAGCAAAATTCCCTCTTCAGACTTGGATCAGACTTGAATGTCTCATGAAAATATATTGCCGAGACTGAATGCTCATCATTACTTTTAATCCTTTTACAGGGTAGTAAGGCTCAAAAGATTGCTAGGGAAGATAGTAAAGTGCTTTTACTCCTGGAAACAAGTGCAGCGGGTTGGTCAGAGGTCACTGTCATGGGGACAGTGTATCTGGCCTATCGTAATAGTGGCAGGGACAGTGGCTGGTAACCAGCAGCATCAAACTCTAAGTACCCCTTGATTATGTCAGGAACATCACTACTCACTAGTGTTACAGCTTTCATTTTACAGAGAGGGCAACTGAGGCACAGGGGGTTAAGAAATTCGCTCTTCTCATTTTTGAAGTGTGGACAACACCTCACCATCATGGAGAGCCCTTGTCTGATACTCCTTAGCTAATTCTCTATCGCATCACTCACTACTACAACCCTGCTTCTTGGTGAAGCCAAGGCAGCTTCCCAAAGCCTCTCTAACCAGTGAGTTCTGCCCCGTACCCATCTTGTTTCCAATCCCATTTCACTCAAACCACCCATCTGGTATCTGCTTTCCCTATGTGGGTGCCCTCTACGACAGTAAAGGACCCTGTCTTTTTTCATGCCAGAGCTGGCACTGCAAAAACATAAAATAACTGATTCATGACAAGTGATCTCCGCCTTTCCCTTCCAGCAGGCTGAAGTACTCTGGAAGGTTCTTATAAGAATCAAACTCTTTGCTTATAGCTCACCCCAGACAGATGGCGCCTTTTGGATAGCTACTGTTTAAGATCAGTAGACGTATCTCTGGGCAGCAGGCATATATATATATCTTTAAGTTTCCCAGGTGATTTCAATGGACATCCAGGGTTGAGCCGCCCTAAAGAAAAGATGCTTCCATCTGGGGCTTTTAGGAGGGAAGTCTCTTTACGTCTTAAAGACCATGTACAACAGTTCAGCAGATATGATTCGTTTTCGTGTCACTTCCTAGCTCGCACAACTTGTACATGTTGGCCCAATGTTGCCATCTGCAAGGCATATGACAATAACAGACGCTTGCCTAGTACCCAGGAAGGCATTAATGTTCCCGGCTCTGAATTATCTAGATTCGTCTGGTGCGGTGTGCGTGGATGAGGCCACTTAATGCGTGATTTCTGTGTCTTCTCATGGCAGCACCACAGCGGCAATGCCACATTTCCCAGGCTTTGCACTGCTCTTTGTCATCCCATTGAACTATTACGAGATGGATTTATAACAGACCTAAAGGTAGTATCAAAATGAAAATTAGTTCTTGAGTAGAATAGTAATCCCGCCTGACTTGCCTGTAGCAACTGCGTCATATCTGCCTCTGCAAGGAGGGAAATGACTTCTTAATGTGGTTTTCTTCCACTAAGGAGAATTAAATCTGTGTGGCAAAATGTAAAACCAGTGTGCTGGCAGCCACATTCTGAAAGGAAGATCCACGACCCTCGTAAACACATTTGTGGCACAGTTCCATGCTAATGAACCTCGTTTGGGCTCCAACTTACTCCGTGTGAAAAATACAGCTCAGCTGGAGAGCCAGGCTATCGCTCCCTCACTGTTTTGCCTTCTGCCCCAAGTTTGCTCTGAAGTAAACAGGGCAACTTCTCCATCTGCTGCAAGCTGCCAGGGTGGAGTCTCTGGGAAGACTTAAGGTGTTTGGGGCCTGAGATTACAAACTCCACTATTTTACGTGGCAGTCTTTTTGCTGAATTGACAAGACTATTCTCTAAGAATCAGGCTGGCTTTTGGGTGTATACAGGTGGTGGAGTGAAACAGTGTCTGTAGAATTATCCATTCTTTGTGCATAGCCTCTGGGATCGAGGGGCAAAAATGGTTGGGGACAACCCTGACAACCTACTGTTAGCTACGTGAGCGGACTTTCAAAAGGAAATGAGTTTCCTCAGACCTCAGTTTTCATGTTGATAAGTAGGGTTAATGAGTACCTGCCTATGGGGCCACTGCAAGGTTACATGAAATAATGCAAGCCAGAGAAACTGCCCTTCACACCATAAATGCGAGCCATCGCTGGCTGTGCTAGTAAATTGTGTATCTTTGTGGACTTAACCCAAAACATTTCACTGTGCATCCCACGAGGATTTGTACCTTCAACATTTTACAGCCGCACAAAGGAAATGCACATGTATGGAGGGAAATTTAATTGCAGTGGGAGATTAAGGGAGAGGAGTCACCTTTTCCACAAAAGCCACCTTGAGAACTTGTCTCTGATAACAATAAAATTCTATTCACTCTGTATGTACATCTGAAACATACAAGTTGTTTTTTAAACAAATATTGGTATTTAAGGAAGATTTGAAAATAATGCAATTGACTAAGGCTAATTGCTAATTTTTAAAGTTGTTTTCTCATTTCATCGTTTTTACCATTTGACTGCTTAAAGCCTCCTTTAATGGAGAGAGCAGTTTCCCAGTCGGCATTCACTGTGTTATGATCATAAATTTTCCTGGGTTATTTTGGTTCTCAGAGGAAACGCGCACGTACTCACAGAAGAGGCTAAATCGGAGAGAGTAGTAGGTACACCACAAGCCAGCTTGGAGGGACAGTCATGGGGAGGCGGCAAACTCACATCTTCGGGGTCTGAGACACCCCACACACTGAGTGATGCTTACTAAACCGAAAAGGACAGACAGGTAGGGGTGTGCGAAGTGGGAGGGCACTCCCTCGGGAGCCCCGCCTCAGGCCCCTCAATCTGTCACGGTAGTCTCAACCTCAGCGGATAATTACAAAATAACAAAAGGCTGTAGAGTAGTTTCATCTGATTATTTTATGAGAGATGCTAAAAATGTGAATTCTTATGTGAAACCTGGTTTTTAAATTTTGGCAATTAAAATACACATATATGTACCTATTTACCCCTAATATGCAAATTCTGTACAGCCCTCCCTTCCCCTAATATTTATTCAAGAAGATTCCAAGAACTCATTCATGAGCCTATTCTGTTCTTCCTCAAAGCTGGAGAAACACGACAAGGAGGAAGAAGACACCCCCGCCTCTTGGAGGTCAGAGGAAGAAATGGCCGCAGAAGCAGCTGTCCTCCGAGCCTACTTTCAGTGACAGTGCTAAAGCCTGCACTCCGTCCTCCTCAGCACCCTCCAATGGGCCTCAGGACGAGGGCACCAGCTGGAAATTGAAGAGGAGGCCTTCACCAATTGATCCTTGGGGTAGGGGGAGGGTACAAAAGATCTGCAAGCTGGAGTAGAATAAAATTTGATCCTTGAGAAATCTTGATCTCTGGACTGTCTCCCTAGCCCGCTCTAGGGTCTTTCTAGTCTCTCCCCCAAAGGGGCTTTTCTCTGTTACTATCCATAAAGAAGCAAATGGTTAGGAATGCATAACTGGTTGTTTGAAAGGTCAGCACCCTGCGGGGCTCACTCAGTCCCCCTGCATCTCCTTTCCTTTATTTCCCTACATTTCTGCCACATCCAGACATACTCCATTCAGGCTGGGACTATGGTCTGCACTTGCTCTTTGGTAAATTACCCGTTGTGTTTCTCTTTTGCTTTGGCCAATAGGGAGCTCAGGACACAGGAAAAGGGACTTAATGGAATTAACTCTGCATTAGTGACGTTTAATTGTTGGGAAGTCACTACTGTGGAAAGACAGTTATAGCCAATGTTCTTTTCAGAATGCATCTGCAAACCAAATGTGTACAGTGCAAGGGATCTTCTGAAATGTGTTCATAAATAGGGCTCCTATGCAATATTGAGACGTACCTAGACTGAAAAATTATTCACTGTTTATCTGAAATGCATATCTGGCTGGTGTCCTACATTTTAATATACCTCCTTAGGGGCCAGGGACCTCAGATAAAGTCCTCTCTTTTAAATAGTTCCTTTTCCCCTGTAGAATTAGGCAACTCTAAATCAAAATTAGGCTGTTCTTCATCTGGCCTCAGTATAAATATGTTTATATTGTAAGTTGCTGAAACAGATTAGATACAAATTTAAGACAAAATTATTGAACAAATAGTGATAGCAACTGAAAACTTAATCATCTAAAATTGTCAGCCATTTAGTGGCTGTGAATTTTTAGCTAGAAAACATTCATTGCAAAAGCAGGATTTTGCTTTCTGTAGTTTCAGTTTCCTTCTCTCAACCGTAGTCCAGAAATATCAAAGGGAAGGGGACGGAGAGACGGGGAAGGACGTGGAGGGCGGGGCAAGGGCACGGAAGGGGAATTAAGTGAGATGTGTTGTGTACATGTCCCGACTCCGCTCAAGGGAAGCATCACCATGTACTATAAATGTGTGCCAATGAAAATATTAAACGCAGCATTCCTGAAGTGAACAAATACAAGTTATAAATCGTGTGTCCTCCTACTCCATCTCCCCAGCAACAGGAATCATCCCTTTGTCCAGCTTGACTACACAGGGTACACAATGACCTCTTGGTCGCTGAACACCTGTCGTGGCTATCACATGGACTGACACCACAGTGCTTGTATCCAAGTGGCCCTCACTTTACTTCACAGTGATCCCAAACCACAAGAGTAGTGATGCTGGCGTTAACTTGGTTATGCCGGAGCGAAGCAGAGAGTGCTTCTTTAAGTGTTGTCTGACATTCTCACAAGACGAAGGATCAGGACCGGACTACATTCACAGAACTTTTGCTACAGAATATTGTTGTACTTATTGTTTTATGATCAGTTATCATGCTAATTTCTTACTGTGCCGAATTTATAACTTAAACTTCATCATAGCTACATATGCTTGAGAAAAAAACCCCAGCATATTTACAGGATTCTGTACTATCCCAAGTTTCAGGCACCCACTGGGGGCCTTGGAACACATCCCCTGGGAGTAGGGGGGACTGTTATAGCCTGTTGTCACTTTGAAGTGTAAGGCTTTATCAGATATCTGAAAATACATGTGCATTTGGGCTTTCTCTCCCCAGTCTCCCTTTCAATGTAATTTACTTACTTAGGGACCCTGAGCGCTGGCCCCCACTGTTGTCCCTGTACGGTGTGGTGCCCCGCCTGTGCCTCGAGAAGGCTCCCCTCACTCTCCACGTCCTCCATTACACTCAGGTGGCTGTCAGGATGGAGCCTGGTGTAGCAGCAGTGCCTGTCATATTTTACTTTTAACCTTTTCCACCATTCATTTTCTTTCTCTGTCTTTCTTGCAGTTCTCTTAAAGAAAGCACGGCTGAAATGAGCACAGCCCTCTAGCCTGACTGCAACCCTCTCTCTGTCCTATTCCTGTGTACACCCAGGATGTCATTTTGCAGTGCCCTGTGAAGCGGGTGTCCCAGATCTTCAGATTTGATTTCCCAGGGTAGATTTGTTTTATGGATTTCCTCTCCAGTGGGTATTTTCAGGTAGAGGCAAGAAAGCGCTAGGCTTTTCCTGAGGCTTGCTGAATCCTAAGGGTCTATCTTAGGATGTGTTTTCTGGATGTTTTAGGAATATTTAAACTTATAACTCAAGACTTTTGTATGCTTTACTTTGTCAGTTTTGCTTCTGTCTTGGCTTTAGGCCTGATATCTCCTGTCTCCCAGGTAAATTCCCTTGTGTTCTAAGTCCTGCCAGGTAGACATTTACCCTAAAGTTATACAAACCACTGCCACCATGCTGGTGTGCTTTCAAATGAACTAATATTTGTATCTGTCTTTAAGGAGCTTTGTTTACAGATAAAAGGAATCACTTCCAGAGAATCCAAGAGTCGGGGGAGAGGCTGGGAGGGATAATGCAGCACCCAACTCGTACCTAGCGCACAGGATACTTAAAGTAAGGGTCCTTACATTTTTCCAAGAGCATCCCCACTCCCTGCAATATGATGGGACTAAATATACTTTAATATACTCTAATATACTATAAAGACCAAGGGCGGTGGAAGCAGACACATTCTCTTTTGTAGGAAACTTGGTTCTTAGGTTCATCGTCCTAATTATTTGACAAACACCCTCCTCTCATTTAATATATCCATCACTAGATTTGTATACAGTGTTAAATGGTTCATGTAAATTCTGAAATTTGCTGAAAACAGAGCAATTTGAACATACTTAGACTTAAAGATATCTGTGGTTTGCCTGAAATTCACATAAACTTGGCCTCTTAGGCTTGGCTGATTAGACCCTCAGCTTAGGCTAAACAAGTGGAAAGACTTGAACGGTCTCATTCTGCAAGATGGCACAACTCTCAGCATGAACAGGGTGGAACTTAGCCACAGACCCATGACAATAACCAACGCTTACTGAGAATTTGCAAGCAGTTTGTATTAGTATTACTATTATCCCGCCTTGCAAGTGAGGAGTAAACTAAGGTTCGGTGATGTGTTATTCCAAGGCAAATGGTTGCTAGGTGACCACTGGCAGAACATCTGACCAGTGGCAGAACCCAAAGGCCATTTTCCTGGTCTTCGTACTGCCCATCCCACCAGAAGAGCTCAGCTCTCCAGCCAGTCCTTCTCTCGAGCCCAGCTCTTCTGGAAGCCATGAGTACTCTTTGCAGGCTCTTTGCCTTTTCCTGCTGACCTCTCTCGCTCCCCGTGAGGACAGCCCTCTTCTTCTCCGCTGGATCTCCTTGCCAGCCTTGTTACTCTCCCCGCTGCAGTGCCTGCCTGGGCACTCTGCAGCCAGGTCGGAGGGACCAAAACAGGCCCCAGATCTCGCCAGCCAGCTTTTCAGATGATGCTGACTTCTACCAGGTTGTCCTCTGACTTCTTTATTATCTGACCATTTGTCCACATAATATGAGCTTTCGAAGGTGCAATGTTTTCCAAATTTTGTGCATTCCCATTTTGTCGTGAGTTTTCTAATCTTTGTGGCCACCTGGGGCATTACTTATTATTAACTGGATTCACTTTTTAAATTTCAGTACATTTATTTTAAAAAATGTGTGTCTTAGCCTCGATGAAAAAAAAATACTACTTGTAAGTAGAAGGTGAGCCTGAAAATAAATATTAAAGTAAAACAGTGCTAAGAAAATTCCATCTGACCTAGTTGCTTGTCTGCAGCTGGCAGGACTGAGGTTAGAAGTGAGGCCAGCCACCGTTAGGCATTTGCTTCCAGCACCAACCTGAGATATGGAAACCTCCCACTTCACCTATTCAGAAGGATTAAAAGAGAATGACCTACTCTGAAATTTAGTGATGATCACCTAACGTTAACTCACGCAGGCACATGAGTCCCACTGTTGGACAAGTGGCAGTGGAAGTCCTCATTCCAATCGAGAGCAAACTGAGTCCTGTTCTATTCCACCCACTGTGCCAGGACTTCATCTTTTTTTACAAGGCGTATGGAAAAGATAAAGTTCATGAGTGAAAGCCAGAGTCAGCTTCCTTAGGGCTGGGGAAGGGGTCACTATTTTGAACCTAGATGGAGGATGAAAGGTAGAAGATCATGCACACCCCACTGCCTCCCAGGGGCAGACTCGGTCTCTAGGCTGAGTAGAACTGTTCAAAACCACTCCTTCTCCTAAGAGATCAGCTCCTAGGGTTTTACTTTAACACTTTGCTTCCCAAAAGTCTGCCTTCCAAACCAAAGGATTGCAGAGAAAAATGTGAATACCTGTACCCAAGATGTCCTATATAAAACAAAAGACTATAATAGGCGCAGAGCTGCTCTGGGGTGGATATTTGGTACGCATATACTGAACAATTCCTTGATAGATAGAAAACCCTGATCTGTGTATTTTTTATGTATAAACGTGGGTTAATCCTCAGCATAAGCGTGCTGCCGAGACCGCAGAGGTAAATGTTTCACAACTATAAACTGTCTCCTCAGCCTCTTGAACCTGTCCAGGCACAAGCATTAGTCTAGTAGTATAGAGGAATTCTCTGTGTCTTCCCAGATCACCCTGCAGAGGTTGGGGCATTTTAGCCACTCTCTGAATCCCTTGCCTAGTAGGAAATGATTCTGAATGGCAGTCTCTTGCACAATACTGAAAAACAGATCTTGCCTTTGCCGTGCCCACAGAGGTCAGCAGTCGACTGGTTGCTGAATGAAACTGCAGTTGTCTCTCCTTTCATCTGATGGGTCCCCAACGAGGTTGGCAATTCTTTGGTTCCAGGAACTGAGCATCTACTCCTTGCCTAGGTGAATTTATGCATTGGCTCCCCACACACTGGGCTGATTTCCGAGATAGGGGTTTTGCAATGGCTCTTTTAGGTCTTCTAAATCACATTAGATGACAGTGAAACTGCGTTTCTTATCTATCCTTGCCTCCTTCCTGGAGCCTGGCAATTCATTATGCAGGTGTTTAACAGGTGGATTTGCTGCCTATAC